ATATATATATATATATATATATATATATATATATTTATATATATAGATAGCCCATTGTGGAGCTTTGTGCTTAATGACAAAACAATCAAACAAACCAAAAGCAAACAGATTTAATAAATGAACTTTACTTATTTAAGAATGAAGAACAATCATGACCACTAAAAGTAATTAGGAATTTTGAGGTCAATTTTGATATGACGATTAAACAAATGTAAATTTTGCTGAGAAATTATGAGCCATAGAATTAAACTTGAAAGATAAAAATAAAATTCACAAAATTCAGAAAATCTCTATATTGAAAAAACACTTTAACATTGAGAGAGAGAATTCGTTTTAGCATCAGAGTTAACTCTTTAAACCCGTAATTGTTTACACGATCTGCAGGAATTATTTTTATGATTTCCTAATAATTATCACCATACCCTATAAAACTTCAATTTTCATAATTTTAAAGATAATAACATGGCCTGAATTAGTTTTCAACCAAAGAGACATAAATATTGTTGGATACTGTCACCATCTAATGGGTAAATCATGTGTTTTGGCCAGATGCTGAAAGCACCCTCTGGGGTTTAAGGAGTTAAAGGATGAAAAAATAGAAATTAAGAGCTTTATACAAACCAGGAAATATATTTTAATATGACTGAATATTAACACGAATTGATTATTCGTAGAAACTCTAGATAATCTTAAGTATTATTTATATAATAATTATACAATAATTTTTGAATTTCTAGTCATATACCAGTTTTGTTGCTGTTTTCTCTTAGAACATATCATGGCTTCTTTCATTTTGTGGTTTTTGTAGCTAATGGCATTAATGTGTACAGAGAAGAGATGATGTCAGAAAGTATATACAGAGCTGAGAAAAGTACATTTGCTTAGGTTTCTCTTTTGTTTCAGAGTAAGAAAACTAGCTACATGTTCGCTCTATTTAAAATTTGTATGTATTTTTAAAGGAATGATTACATGCAAACAGATTTGTTTGTGTGTATGTTATTGCAGTAATTAAGTTGGAAAGTTCTGCTCATTTAACATATTTAGCACATCATCTTTGTGATGGTGTTAACTGCATAATTACTTCACTGACTATTTCACAAGCATGGCTTTACAAGAGTTATGAAAGTCGTGGGAATGTATATGTAAAGAAAAACAAAATGGCCGACCAACTGTTTTAAGTGAACTGTGTGTGTGCTGGCATGCTTTACAATTTTTGTGTCATTGCAGAGTTCAGATTTGAAAACCCTAATAAATGGAATTACATATATTTGCGTGTCTATACTGTTTGTTTTTTAACAGAACTTCTCTAACTTCCTTTCTGAGAAATAGATTATTTAAAAGTAGTTAAACAGAAAGTAATGTGAAGTAATTTGGACAGGAAGTATTTGAAACCTGTACTTTATGTCCTGTCGCTGTTAAGTTGACAATACAGCAACGGTAGTTGAGATTCTAGCCATACATACTCTATTTAAATTAGTTGATGTACTTACATCAGTACATTTAATTAAGCACCTTTTGCAGGTC